CAAAAAGAAAAAAGCCGGAAGTGGCACTGTGGCTCAAGTGGTAGAGCGCTAGCCTTGAGCTGAAGAGCTGAGGGACAGCGCCCAGGCCCAGAGTTCAGACCCCACGACCGGACCAAAAATAAAATAAAATACAGTACATTATTGTATCCCACTAGCATGGCTATTGATAATGTCTGTGAAGCTTGAAGATTTTGTTTTCTTTCTTCCTTTGCTGGTACTGGGGCTTGAACTCAGGATCTGGGCCCTGGCCCCGAACTTTTGGGGGGCTCTACCACTAATCCACAGCTCCACTTTTTGGTAGTTAATTGATTATAAGAGTTTCATGGACTTTTCTTCCCTGGCTGGCTTTGAACTGTGATCCTCAGATCTCAGCCTTCTGAATAGCTACTATTCTAGATGTGGACTGATGGTACCTGGCATCCATATCATCTATCTATATCCCTTCAACTCCTTGGAAATGATAAGTTGATTTATGAGCAAAACTTTTAATTCTCCAATGAAGAATTTGGCCAGTAAAAGCCTTTCTCCTCGAGTCATCTCTCATATTTTGTTTTGTTTTATAAAGTACATTTTGAGACTTGGGCTCAGAAATATTATCTGCAATGTGTTCTTATAAAATAATCAGATAAAGATATTGTAATATAGGGCTGGGAATGTGGCTTAGTGGTAGAGTGCTTGCCTAGCGTTCATGAAGCCCTGGGTTCTATTCCTCAGTACCACAGAAAAGCCTGGATGTGGTGCTGTTGTTCAAGTAGTAGAGTGTTAGCCTTGAGCAAAAGAAGCTCAGGGATACTTCCCAAGCCCTGAGTTCAAGCGCCAGGACTGAAAAAAAAAAATAGTAATATCCTATAAATAGAAAATACAAATGTTTACTAAATATTTTACTAGTCTTCAGAGGAAAGAGAAGAATTTTATCTGGGAACCTCTGGCTCATGCCTATAATCTTAGATACTCAAGAGGCTGAGATTGTTGTTTGAAGCCAGCCTGGGCTTCAAAAGTTAAAAAGCTAAGCAAAAGCTGGGTGCTAGTGGCTCACGCTTGTAATCCTAGCTACTCAGGAAGCTGAGATCTGAGGATCTCAGTTCAAAGCTAGCCCAGGCAGGAAAGTCTGTGAGACTCTTATCGCCAATGAACTACTAGAAAACCAGAAGTGCCACTGTGGCTCAAGTGGCAGAGCGCTCACCTTGAGCTGAAGAGCATAGGGATAGCGCCCAAGCCCAGAGTTCAAGCCCCATGACTGAAAAAAAAAAAAAAAAAAAAGCTAAACAAGAGGGCTGGGAAGGTGGCTCAGTGGTAGAATGCTTGCCTTGCATGCATGAGGCACCTTAGCACCACATAAGCAGAAAAAGCTAGAAATGGTGCTGTGGTTCAAGTGGTAGAGTGCTAGTCCTGGTCTGCAGACCTGAGAGACAGCACCTAGGCCCAG